GGTGTTTTTGGGGTTTTCGGGGGCGGCTCAAAGTTCTTTAATTTGGCCCCCCCCCCCCCCCCCCCCCCCCCCCCCCCCCCCCGGTGTTTTTGGTGTTGAAGTGGCGCGTTTCAATTTACGAGTTTATGCGAATCACATTGTCTTGTTTGCAAACCCTTTTTGAGCATGGGTCGTTTACACGCGCGACGTGCGTGGTGTGTGTGGTGTGTGTTGTACAATGGGAAAGCGGTTCCTTCTGAGGCATGCACAAGCGAAACGCCTCCTTCCGTTTTGGTTGCACCGCTACCTGTACCAATTTTGTTTCGGTTGTCTAGTGTGGTATGGGGGGGGGGTGGGGGGTAAGGAAGCGATCGCGATATGGTGTGGTTTCGATTTGGCGTTGGAAGCGATTATAGTTTTGTGGAACGGGGGTGGCACGTTGAAAAGCCGTTTGGTATTTGTTCGGTGAACAATACCCGAGTGTTTGGTTTGATGTTAACCAATCACACGGAAGATTTCGCGTGAGGGATTGTTATCCAAACCCCGACTCTATTGCTAACAATCCTCATTGGCGCAATGGCATGTATGTGGTGGGATCCCGCGTGCCCCTTCGCTCTTTCTTTGAGTTGGATACATATACATACAAGTCCCGGCAAAGTGAGTTATTTTTCTCGCTAAATCAATCCTGGTCAAAGTTGGAAGCGACGCGCTGCAAAGCTCGTTGTTAGTAAACTAGATCGACTTCATCATAAGTCGCGAGGGAAGGGATTGCTGTACCCTTCTCGCGATAAAAATATCTCAGGCAGGAACCGCAGGAGGGGGTCCAACCCCCCCCGTCCTATGTGACCCCGGTTGGGTCGTCTAGCTATTAGTAGAAGTGAAGGATGGGGGCCAGAGGGGCAGACGACAGAGTCCAATGATGGGAGAAAAAAAAAAGAACTCCACAGAGACAGAGAAGGAAGGATATCCATGGCGACACGGCGACGTCGGAAAGGGCCCACAGTCAGCTATTGTGGGCGCTTGGATCGATCCTCCGGGTTCACGATGATGATTATTCATTCAAGGCTTTGACGTCAACGGGGCGGTCGCTGGCGACCGCGGAGGGCTGATTCTGACAAAAGAAGTCAAACACGCGTGTTGTATGGTTCACACTCGCACAGAAAATGCAAAAAGTTTGGAACATCGGTACCATGGCAATTAGTTTGTGTCGGTTGCCAAGTTCCGGCAGAGCGCCCTCCAAGGGCCGGAGGTTTTGCTTCGCAATCCCTCCTCGAGGAAAACAGCGATCATTATGTTCTTGCGAGACCACGGACGGAACTACTTACTCCGCTGGTAAAGAGGTTTTTCTTGTGTTTTTTGTTGTCGACGAGAGCTGGACGCACGAACCCCGACGTGGCACGCAATTAATTACACGTGCTTGATAGCGGTAAGATGCGAAGTAAAAAATATTGAGATTGCCTCGGAATTTTTAAACGGGCACGACCGAAGATCCTTGGCAACGGGTGGCGTCATCCACGGCGGGCCTGCATGATTATCGCGAGAAAGTTGCAGCCGTTGATGTTCCTTGGCCCTCCTCTTGGAAACCAGTAGTTTAGACTGAGGTAGTGCAGCTGGATGTCGATTTTACGTCCGGGCCAAAGAAATGGTCCATCCCATTACTGCCACAATTCGGTTGTGCGGGCAGCATGCAAGGAAAATTAGTGTGACTTGCTTTCTTGGCGGTGATTCGAGGTCACGTCCCACTTGTACGAGAGAACAACGCTGTTCATGCTGCCAATTGAACCATTGGGGCGATCGAACTACAGCTACTGCGTAGTGCTCTCGGACAGGACTTCACGTCTTATTACGTTGTGGACTCGAAGAGGCCCCGCGCACTTCCTAGGAACACCCGCCCACCACCACCCTAAAATAGGATGCTCGGTCATCATCTCCGAAAAAAAATCGCGCAAGGTGTTTTGACCAATCAGAAAACTGCGGGCATTTCCTTTCCCTGCTAGTTTTCGGCGCGGCACCTTTGTCGATGTAACCCTTTACTCCACCGGCAGCAGCACTCTTTGGGTTGAGGATGATGAACGAGGAAAATCGACAAAATGAAGGCAGTAATAACGTTGTAAAAAAAGCGACAGGAAGCTTCGTCAACCGAGGGATCGACAAAAAACCGTCGATCCAAGATTCCGACACCAACCGAACGAAAGAGAAAGATGACAAACAAGCGAGCCTGGCCCCCGCAACAACGCATCGAGCAATAATGGTACACACTTTCCAACCAACCATGACCAAACGCTCGTGTAATTAGCAATTCTTCCCAACCTTCACTTACTTTCATCCACACCTCAACAGGAGGGGAGGAAAAGTACCCGAGCGCTACACAATAAAACAAAAAAAATAACCCCCGGTCCACAACCGTCCGTCAGGTGAACTTGTTTACGTTTTTTTTTTTGGCTTGGGGGAGATCAAACAACCCGAACCTCGTATCTCCCCCCTACCAAGCTGAGACATACAGACGACCTACCTTCTACGCTCCGAGTGTACATTCAAATTCTTGGAATGAACCTCCACGACTACAAAAACGCCTCCAAGAAAACAAGAAAACCCTGCGAACAACCATTTCATTCACCGCATCGTCCTGCACCGACTGCCGAGGTCACATCGCTGCAGGACAGAGGGGCGACTGTGTGTGTGTGTGTGTGTTGCGCTTCTCTACACCAAGGAAAGAAAGGTACACCGAGTGGTGCAGGGCACATACCACTTCCTCCAAGCTTTAGCACAGCAGAGGACAGACCACAAATCAAATCAACAAAGACGGACAATTGCACAAACCTTGACCGATACACGAACAACGACCACCTGCGAAACACTGAACTCAGCGACAACTATATAACGATTCGAGACTTGTACGGTAAAGGGTCCCCAGGATGCGAGGTCCCTGTTGTAGCACACGGCACACAAAACAACAACAAATCCTGACAAGACAACTCTCGTCCAAGGGGGTTTGTGGCGCGAGCTCTGCTTCTGTCTGCTGCGGGCAAATGCAGTGCTCCGACCGCAAGAAAATATTTTATCACGAGCAATGATCCCAAGCTTTCTCTGGATCACCGCGCCGCCTTACCGAACCCATCCCTACCCCCTGCTACGCGATAACCTAGGGGAGAGAAGCACCACATACCATCAATCATTCATCTGTGTATCTATTTTCCTGATTCAATACCGTTTCCCGCCGAACGTTCCGAAACGTTTCCGCGAGAAGGCTTCCGCCCACAAGCAACACCAAAGACAACGACCCCTATTTACGCGCCTGTCTCCGGACCAAAAGCCAAAAGCCAAAAAAAAATCCTACCAGAAATACCTACCCCGTAGCGTGCTCTCTCCTCTCCATCATCATATCGCCGCCTCAGTCTCCACGCCATCCAGGGGCTCTTCCTCCCCAAACATCTCGTCGTTCGCCGTGTCGACGGCCGCGATGGCGTGCATGAGCACGTACACGGACGCGCGCTGCTTGTCACTCGACTGCTCGGAAGGGTTGGGCTCGCCCCGGTCCTCCCCACCGCCGCCGCCGCCGCCGCCGCCTCCTCCCTCCCCCCCTTCCTCCTCCCCCTTGAGCTGCTCCAGCGCCTGGTCGATCGAGAACTTGGTCATGACGTCGTTGATGGCCTTGCTCCCTCGGCGCGCGTTCGGCATCGGCATCTCTCGGCCGGCGGCGGCAGCCTCCCCGTCCGGCCTCTCCTCGGAGACCCTGTGCGGCATGAGCTCCTCCCTCTTCACACCTGCCCCGCCGCCGCCGCCGCCGCCGCCGCCGCCGCCGCGAGCCTGCGGCTCGGTGGACGACGATGAAGGAGACAACGCCGCTCCTGCTGCCGCCGCCGTCGATTCCTGCGTGTTCTCCTCGGAATCGCTAGTCTCGGGAAGACCGCTAGCGAGGCAGGTGAGCGCCTGGACCACGCTCGGGCTAGCGGCAACCTTGGCGTTCATCCGAGCCTCCGACATTCTCCGCCCGTGTCTCCCCACCCCGCCTCCTCCTCCTCCTCCTCCTCCCGCCGCCGCCGCCGGACCCTCCCTCCCGGAGGGGAAGCGCTCCGCCATCTGCGGACCCCCCCTCGCCCGCTTCAGGTTGAAGCTGCCGGGCCCCACCTCGTTGCTCGCGTCCGGCGGACCCCCCATCCCGTCAGCAGCCTGCCTGCTACTACCGCCGCCGCCGCCGCCGACGTTGCCGCCCATCCCGTACTGCCCGTAGCTCTCGAAGTCCTCTGGAGCGGTGCGCTTGAAGGTGACGCGGTTGCCGCTGCCGCTGCCTTCCCGCGAGGGGAACGCGCCCTCGAGGCTGCCCGGCGCGGACGGCATGGGTGGCGGCAGCGTCCAGCCCGGCGTGTTGGTGATCATGCGGTTCGACTCTCCCTCGTCGAGCATGTCCTGCAGGTAGTACGCCAGCTCCGTCACAGACGACCGTCGCTTCTGGGCGAGGTAGGAGTAACGGTGGCTTCTCGATTCTCCCTCCGCCCCCTGCTGTGCCGGTGAGCAGGGCGGTCAACAGAAAAGACAACTTGAATTAAATGAACGCGCTATGTTGAATGTCAACTATTTCTTGGTGCCTGTCTATTTCTTGGTGCCTGTCGGTAAGCGTAGCAACTCGTCACGACGACGACCGGGAGACTGATCAGAGTCTCCATGTTGTGGTTGGCCAATGGACCACGTCAGACCGACCACACCGAAAACTCAAAAACACAGATTGGATAGCACCGCACGCAAACGTCCAGTAGACCACCACCCAACGACCACACAGACGGGGGGGAGGGCAACAAGGCCCAGACACACTGGTACAAACAAAACTTGGCGAGAACAAGATTGAGAATCTCTCCAGGCGAGCCACCAAAACAAAACAAACAAACATGAAGCGGACGGGCGGGCGTTGAAACAGCTGGTCACCACCACGAGACCAACACTACACCACACATATCAAGAAATTTGCTTGTGCACGGGCACAATCACGTCGCCGGTCCGCACTCGACCTGGGCTGCGGCTCTCGCACCAGCAGCACGCCTAACGCAAGACGCACCTGCTGTAAGGACGGGTCTTCCTCGAGAACTTGCGCGATGTTCACCATCTGCGCGCAGAAGGAGTTGCGCTGCCCGATGGGCGTGTACATCTGCGTCGTCGGCCGAGCGTTCGGTGATCGCCCGCCCGCGGAGGGCAAAAGGGCGGGGGGAGGCGAGGTCAAGCATGTACGTGCTTCTGAGGTCCGTCTCATCTTCTATCAACGCGAAGAGTGTTCGCGTCTCTCTCTCTCTCTCTCTCTCTCTCTCTTCCTGGAACGGACGTTAGAGCCCAATATCGCCGAGAGAGAAAGCCACACCGATGCCCTAGCGGCAGACATGAGGATAGTACCGAAACTGATCTATTAAGTATGTAGCAAGAGGGGTGCACACGAACAACTGCCGCTGCCTAAAACATTTTTCAAGTTCTTCGACCGAGAACGTGTTCCGCAAGTGAGCCAGCCGAGAACAAGGCACCGCGACGTAATACATGCATGTGCTGCCTTGCGTTGTCCCAGCCATATGATATCAAACCCCTTTTAGCGGTATGCATGTGACACCATACCCCAAAACTGCAGGCTCGGCGACAGCACATTCGAGCTTTCTCCAACCACGCGAGGAGTTAGAGGCGGCGTGGTGCCTCTTGTAGTCTCACTCCAACACCTCGACTTGTAAGCAAACACCCCCCCCGTCCCCCATGCCCCCCCGTTCCACAAAAACAAACATCTCGGTCACTGCCCCCAACTACTATACATGTATGTTTGTACAGGGAATACGCACCTCCTCAGCCAGGGGGGCCTCCAGAGTGTGCTCCAGGTTCTCCAGCAGCCGGCTCAAGCTCGACACCATGGGCGTCTGCCCCGGTCGGAAGTCCCCCATGCCTCTCGCCGAAGACCCTACCTCTTCAACCGCGGGGCCCCCCATCGGCATGCCCCCTTCCTGCCCGCCGGCCGCTGCAAGCGGGGACAGATACCCCATGCTACCAACGCCGCCGCCGCCGCCGCCGCCGCGCGCGTCGTCGTGGGGCGACGACTGCTCCGACATTGGCGAGGCCCCGCCAAAGCGGTGCTGCATCTGATGTTGCTGCTGCATGTGCTGCGGCTGCTGTTGGCGGTGCTGCTGCATGTGCGGCTGCGGCTGCTGGGCAGAAGAGCGGTCCACGCTGCCAGACGAAGACGCCCTCAAGAAGGGCGACTCCCCCCCCCCCCCACCCCCCCCCGGGGGCCCCGTGCCCCCCGGGGCCGCCCGTCGCCTTCTGCCTGTCCCCGTTCCCGGCGGCGGCGCCGCGCGCTCTTCTTCCTCG